GGATCGGAACCAATCATTATCATTACTTACAATTTCAGTTTTTATGAAAATCCCCAAGGTTTTCAGTTCACATCATATTAGTCGATTAAAAAAGACCCCATCGAATATATAAAATTAAAGTTATTCTTTCCTTTCCTTTTTTTTAAAAATATTTTTATTTTCGTAAAATAATCAAAATAGTATGAACCCTGCTAAAAGAAATAAGATTGACCTTGATGTAAGTTTTTTCACTTTTTTTTTAAAAATTCTTAAAGCAAAACTTCTTCAAGTATAAGATTTGATATGTGGGAAAATTTCTGAATTTAATTATAAAATTTTTTTATTACTAAATGGTCTGAATTTCTTAATAATAAATAAATAGAAATTAACGGAAGAGGAAAAAAAACTCTTCCGGATGTATGGAAAGTTGCCAACTGGAAAGGACCTTTTATCCCATAAGTTAAAGGTAACTTGTGAATTTACGTTATGACGACAGAAATGAATCTTGAAAAAGTCAGGCGTGCAAAGTGCTTAACCTTTATTCCCGGAAACTGTTGTTAATATTCTTTACAATACGTTATAATTCGTTTATTTTAAATTATTAAAATCATTTCCTTTGATGATCAGTCAAGAAGAAGATGTTTTGACTTTGAATTATATTATTATTAATGTAGGAGCGAAAGTACTTTGACTCCGGAGATTATGCTCTTTCCAAAGCTGGAAAGACTTCGGGTCCTGTTGGTGTTCAACACCCTTCTCCTGAAACGATTCCTCACGCCAATGCCATCGCAGCTACCACTCATAATTCTTCTCCTGTAAAAGAAAGTTCTCTTGTACACGAGACTGAAATCGAAGAAAAATCCGGTGAGCAAGATGCTCAAGTTGCGGATGCAGTTACTCAAGTCGCTTCAACCTCCACATTAAATCCAACATCTGTTCCTGCGATTCCGGCACCAACACCAATTCCTATTTTAACCGAACGAACATCAAATACATCAAATTTTAGTTCAGCAGAAAAGTCAAGCAATAAATCATGATGAAATATAGAATATTTATTTTATTGTTTTTTTTTTTTTTTATATATATATATATATAGAAGCAGATATTTAAATGTGATAAAATATCGATTGATAATTGGATTTGAATAAAAAGAATTCAAGGCCGAAAAAGAATTCTCT